AAATACAATTATAGTAAACTGTAATACAAATAGTAAATTCAGTGACCAAATCGTATAAATTTCGTGATAAAATCAGTGATCAAATCATGTAAATTCCATATAAATCCCGTGCAAATTCCGTATCCAAACCATATTTTTAGTGATACGGAATTGTGCATTTTTCCGTATCCTATTATGATACGTTATTTCTAAGGAAAAAAAATCGTATAAAAACTTTATAAAAAACGTATCCAATTTTTTTATAGGGAATTTATTGGTACAAAAAAGCAGCAGAAATGGATATGAAGCTATATATTATTTGTCTAGGTAAATGTCATCAAGATGAAATTGGTATCAAAAAAATGAAGTTAAAGCATTTGAACATTATAAAAAATCAGCTGAAAAAGGATATTTAAATGGAATATATGTACTTGGATAAAAGGCAATTGAATTGTATGAATATGCTGCTAAAAGAGGAAATAAAGATGCACACAAAGACTAGAAATGATGAGTTCATAATTTTACATTCTTTAATCAGTCTAATCATATTTTATATTGTTTCTAACATTCTACTATTTTGATTACTTTTTTATTTTCTAAAATTATTATATATTTTGTATAATCTATTATTTATTCTATATTTTATCATACTAATATTATTATATTATTATTAAATGAATGACTTAATATTATAAATTTAATTAATAAATAAAATATAACTTAAAATCATCTTGGCGAAGCAAGTATCTTAAATTGAATTGTATCTCGTTATATATTGGCGATGTAATGGCGGAGTCTTCGTTATGCGATTCAAGATTTGCACATGCGCAGAATTAAAATTTTGTGAGAAATAGTGATAGAACAACTTTTTTACGTCCGCAGTATACAATTATCACGTGAAATAAGGAAAGAAATTTCTATTTGATAAATGTCAAAGACCTGCTATGGGTAATTGCAGTTCTCTTACCAATAAATTAAAGAGGATATTATTTTGTATAGCTTCTACTAATTTAAATAAAGATTATAGTAAATAACTTTCTATTTAATTATTTCTGCGTATTTTAATCATTTCAATAACAAAACGTTTCTAAAATATAAAAAAAAACATTTTGCTTTCATATCCCACCTGAGTAGATCTGAAGAAACTTTGTATCGTTACATTATTCCTCATGTCTCTTTGCGTCATCTAATAACAAAATATCAAAGTAATTAAAATTGATCTTTACCTATTTAAAAGTAATAAAGTGGGTGTTTGACAAGTTTTATTGCGTGTTTTTTCAAATTTATTATAATAAGTTTTTTTGATTAAGTAAAATAATAATAATACTTTACATGTTAATTATGAGATTAGATACTGTAATATCGTTGACTTTATATGAGTAATAATACAAACTAACATGTTTTATCGATAAGTTATACTTACATGTGCAAAATTTTCTATATAACTTATGAGTTATGATTAATATGATTAATAAGGAATAGACTTTTAGTAAACTTTTTTATTGTCTGAAACGTAAGTATAGTATACTTCAGGTACACTCCAAACTAAATTCTAGGATCTTGAATAAAAATTTTAATAAATTTATTTTAATTAATAAGAGTTCATGTTTAAAGGGGAGTTAGGATTATAAAATGTAAAATATATGAAATGTGATTTATTTTGAACTTGTTCATTTCCTAATAAAATCATGACATTCGAATTTATAATAAATATTTTTTAACCATAATTGAGTTATAAATTAAATTGTTAATTGAAAAATTTACAATAATTTATTACTTTTAATACACACCAAAGGAATGAGAGAAATAAAAAACAATTAAGAAAAACTTATCACAAAATAGATTATGAAGGGAAAATTTTTTTAAAAAAAATCAGTTTGAAAAAAAAGATCAAAAAAAAAAAAAAATCTGAATATTAAAACAAAATATATATATAAAAAATGGTTATAATACAGTAAATCGTGTATCAGGCAAAAATCGTGTATCAGGCAATATTTAAATCACGGGATACCGGATAAATCACTTATTCGCTAACGCTACCTAAAGGTAGCTTATTATAATTTGATTGGTTGATCTCGGGCTTCTGCGGAGCCCGGATCAACAAATCAAACATGATTTACCCAATATATAAGTTATTCGCTGAATAATTAATTATTAATTATTTGTCTACAATTCTAATAATTAGCAAACCAATGATCAAGATGCACGGGAATGATCAAAAATCTATTGATTTTAATAATTAATAAAATGTGTTACTAATTTTTTTTTTTTTAAAAAAAAAAATGACAGTTATACAGATTCAAATAGTGAAGGTGATGAATAATTTATACTAATTATACTACAAATTTACAAATTTCTTACAAAATATTTGAATGTAATAAAATTTTATAAATTATGATTAATTGAATAATAGCTACAAATTTAAATTATTGAAAAATTGTCTTAAATTTTAATAAATCTTACAAAAATTATACATTTAAATTTTAGTAAAAACAAAATTTGATTAAACTCTACAAATATTGAATAAATAATTACAAAAACTAAATAAAACTGTATAATTTTCATACGATGACTTTTTACTGGGGTATGTTATCATTTTTCGGAACCTGTTACTAGGTTCTCTTATACTGCGTCTGATATTTATCTTGTAATTCATTCCTTGTCTCCTCCGTTAACGATATCCTTCCTATAAATTATTTTATCCGTTATTTCTGTAAAAAATGGTCCGTGATATAAGGTAATTAATTCCGGAAATATGAGCCTTTTGTGGAAAAAAAGATGGAATATTAAAAATGGATTGACTTTTTTTACGGGTCCTTAAAAAATTAGTTTTTGTCAGCGGAGGAGTATCTCAATCACCCATAAGGGAATCTTTACTAGTTTAGAAATTTATAAGAATGTGCGTGGATCATGGAATCGTAAATATATTATTCAATAACATAATTGAAATGAGTAAAACTGGTAACGGGTTGGTTGACTTAGTTCAAATATATTATAACAGAATAGTTCAGAAAAATGCTTAATAGTTAAATAATAATTTTATTATAAAAATTATTACCAAATTGGTAAATATAGTTATGTTTTTCGCAAATAATAATAAAAATTATGAAAGTTATTATAATGAGTAATTTGATTATAGTTTTAATTACACTACATTAAATTTGCTACAGAGAAATTTCGGTAAAATTTTTTGGTAAATAATTTGCTGAAAAATTAAAAATTTTTTGTATTAATTATTAATGATGCCATATTTCTAGAAAATAATTAATTATGCAACTAGAGAGACAGATTTAATTGGTTCACATCTTCAACATACTGAGATAATATCCAAATAAACGATTAACAAGATGTTTGTTTAAAAGTCCAATCATCAACATCGCCAAATATACTAAAACAGGTATTTTCATTAAAAGGTCCTCGTGCTTTCTTTTTCTCAAAACTACCTTCAACTTTAGCATGAACCGTGTACGTTTGGTTTGGAAAATAAATAAATTCATAGTCATCAGGGTAATCAGTACAATCAATGTATTTTTTGTTACCGGCTATGCGATGACCATTTGAATCCTCTATCCAAATTCTACATCTGCAGAGAATCATATCCAAATCCGTGGCGACAATAAATGCTATACATTAAACCAAAAAGTTGAATCATTAGAAAAGAAAATGGAGAACATATTGAATGTAAGGACTTTACCTTTAACGTCCATTATATAAAAACACATGAAAAGGACAGTAAGAAGGTAAAAGCTTTGAAGTTTCATATTAGTTAATGTTGTTCGATAGACCTGAGGGAGTAGTAGTTTGGGTAGTTGTCAATTTGGGAGTTTAAAGTTTCAATATCTGCTCGATTCTGTAAAACAAAATTTTGGTGACAGTGGTTATATATAATTTCAAAACCTAGATTTTCAATGATTTTCTGCCAAGAGCTATTACTTGACTTGATTCGTTTTGTTCGTTTAAATCAATCTATATAATTGACAAAAAAATTCGCACATCCCAATCAAGGGTTCATTTTAAAAAAATATATTTATTATAGTAATATATTAGTTAAATAATAATAATCAAATAATTATTAAATCTAATTTAATAATTCTATTCTGTTCTATTTCTTTATATATTCATTATTTTGTATTTATTATTATTTATTATTGTCTTTTTTTTTTAAGAAATAGGAGGCGGTCAATCTTGTCACATGAATAAAGTTAGCCTAATAACCAAAAATATTAAAAATAAATTATTTATGAATTTTACTATATTTAAGATATCAAAATTTTTTATACCCATTTAAATGATTTTAGTTTTACGATACTGACATCATTTTACCGACATGAATATTACCTTAATAATTCCTTATTGCATTTTAATTTCAAATTATTTGATTACAATTAAAAACATTCACACAATTATGCATATTTCATTACTAAATGATTTCAAAATTAGTTTTTCTTTGTGAATAGTTAAACACGATTTAAACAAAAATACAGTTTACACTCAACTATCATATAATTCATACCATATCAACAAATGAAAATATAATCTGTTAACTAGCAAAATATAACATAACCGATACATTACAAAGAAATATGGTGTTACCCTTTCCGAAAAAAATAATCCTGAGTCATTAAATTATCACGAACGTATTTATTAAAATCAATTATTTTTGTACATTCTGAAAACAAATATTGTGTTTAGCGAATTTTTTCCTTATCTAGAATACTATAATCATGTCTATTAATATTGACCCTTAAAAGTGTTTCCAAATTTAAAAAACATTAATAAAATATGTTTCGGTTAATGACCAGAAATCTTACCAAAAACGGTTTAAAAAAGTCATAACAGTAAAAATAAAATGTATATTTGTGCTCATATAATAAATGTCTAAAAAAGCACCATTTTCTTAATTTTTGTGTCATAAATTGGACAAAATGAAGCTTTTTTAGACGTTTTGTACACATAATCATAAATATGAAACGAATTAAGGTTAGGCTGTTAGGAGTATCCGAACTTTTTGCTGAAGTTCAATTCACAGAAGCTCATTTTGCCGAAGCAAATTTTGCCGAAGGGATGTTTTACCGAAATGCCATTTTCCCAAATAGATATTTTACCGAATATCATTTCGCCAAAGCCATTCTGGCGAAGGAACTGTAGTTTGAACCGGTTGCACAAACCGGTTGTAAATTCGGTTTCCAACAATGATTAGGTTTGAGCCGGATTTAGTTTGATACATAATCTCTTAATTAACTTGCACTAAACGCTTCTTTAATTTTTCTTTTTGTACAGTTTGCGGACAATTAACGAACCATAGTCACGTGATCATTTGTGATCGACATGAAAATTCCTAATTCAGAATTTGTTTAAATTATGACCCAGAATTATGTATTTAGCTGAAATTATGGGTTAAATCGGGCCGGTTGTACCCGTTTTAAATTTAGTCTGCGAAAATATAAGGCGCAGTATTATATTTGGTTTAAGTGTGTAAAATTTTAAAGTATTTTTATTTACTGCAGTCCGGAATGACTTTAAACTTTCATATCAACAATTGGTGCTTAACGCCCGTGAACTATTCTTGTGTAAATGTGTTTTATGTATTTTAATTTATATGTGTTATTTTAAGTTGGTTATAATTTTTGGTAACGTAATTTTATTTGTTCCAACAATGAGATACTCATTAAGATCTCGAAGGCATAGGGGAAATATTATAAAAAAGAAACGAATACTTAGTTTTAGATGTGTATAAGAGACAGCATTAAGATCTCGAAGGCATAGGGGAAATATTATAAAAAAGAAACGAATACTTAGTTTTAGAAAATTATTCGACTCCACGTAATTCCATGCATAATTTTCTTATTCAATTCCTTTTGCCTTTTTTTTTATGATGAAAAAGTGCCTCATTAATTATTTTAATTAATGATTTATAGATTAGATATCAAATATAACTATCGCATTTTTAATCTAGAATTTAAGAAATTTTTGGGAGTATAAGGAAAAGACTATCATATTAGGCATCCATTATTTATATGATTTACGAATATTACGAAAAATTTTTTAAAAAAAAACAAAAATAGAATGGATATGAGTAAGTAATGCTAAAACTCAAATAAAAAAACCTATATTCAACATTTTTTTATGTGAAGAGTGATACTAACCTATTTTGAAATTTCTTAATATCCGAAATGGGTTTATTATGGATCGATCTACTTACTGATCAGAAGTGATTTACCATTGTACAAAACAAAAAGAACTCTTGTCAAAATTCTATTATTTTAATTTAATATTCACTGATTTTATTGTGAATTCTAAGTTTGAAAGAAAGTGATCAGATACGGTACGATTTCCCTTCCCGACGGGACATTTTCCTGTCAGGTTTTGCCAGAGTTATGAAAAGTTATGCGGAGTTATGAACGAACACATGACCAAGCGGCCAGCGGTAGGCTGTTGTGAAAGCATGTAGCGTGTTTCCCACATTTACTTCTTAAAAAATAATAATGTTAAACCTACTACGTTATACTTTTTCAGGTATTGTCAATGATTCTATACTAAATGATACTAAATTCTCATTTCTATTAACAAGTGGTTATCATGCACCACTATCATATCATCCTACATTTGGAAAGATTATTTGGTAATACTGTTTATTTTATTAGTATATATTCATTTTTGGTTAGTAAAGGGAAAAAAGTTAATAACGATTAGAATTCAAAATAGAATGAATTTATGTATCTGTAAAAACTTCGTAAAATGAGCATTTCACGGATTCATTCACGGAAAATAAAAATAATTCGATAAATTCCGTGATATAAGGTTATTAATTCCGAAAATATGAGCCTTTTACAGAAAATAGATGGAATATAAAAAAAAGGATCGACTTTTAGATATGTTAGTGTCAATCATGTACGAAATTTAAAAGGGTGCGGGTCCAAAACCCTGACGATCAGAATCTCGTTATAACACAAACCTAACGCTCACAATCTTGACAAATTATAATCTCGAAAAATTAAGATCATTCTTATAAAATGTCCATAACTATATATATATCCAATATACAATATAAATTTGTTCATAAGTATAAAATTTTATAAATTTATAAACCATATATATAATTTGTATCTACATAACTAAAAAATATTTCTTTGACGTTTTAAATAACCTCCTGTATAAATAAATAAATTGAATTGTGTAACGTGAAACGCGTGATATACGGTTAATGAAATTATGATCTTAATCATTGCAATGCCGTGACTCAACTAGTAAATTCAATAATTATGGGGCGCAGTATTATATTTAAAATAAGTGTATAAATTATTGTAGCTTAAAATTGTATGACGTTACAAATGTAACGTCCGAGATGACGTTAAACTAGGGAACAAGTGGAACTAGGATCGGAGTATTTACATTTTAAGTAAAGTAATAATTTTGAAATTGTAAAAATAATATTTTTGACGGAAAATATGGTTCTGAGAAAAAGGATTGTTAAGGGCAAAAAATTGAAAAATTGAAAATTGAATGATTTGAAAATGGAAAATAAAAAAATTGTTTCTTTAAAGAGAGGTTCTATTTAAGGAAATGCTATTTAATATAAATAGCCATGATTTTGGACGAAGTTGGGAAATTTTTAATTTTAATTTTATTTTTTATTTTTAGGTGTATTTTATAGTTAAGATGAACCAAGCATATTATTGTATTTATTTATATTATCAATAAAGGACTATTTTGTTAAGACTGCGGTGGCAACGTGGTTTATCACGGGCGTAGCCTTACATTATCGTTTTTGGGACGATGCGATCGGCCATTGGCTTTTTCTTGACCCCGACTTTTTTTTTTTAAAAAAAAAGAAGAAAATGTTTTTGTATGAAATAATTTAATTTTTATCTTTTATTTTATTTAAAATTGCTTATCGAATGTGTAATTAAAACACCATTATATATAACTGATAATTATAAAGAACCTTGGGAAAATGACACATCTGAAATACAAAATGGGAAAATATTTTTGCAAGCACAAATAAAGTTCAAAAAGAAAAAAAAGAATAATGAATTGAAATAACAGGTAATTAAAATTCGCATAGATAAAAATATATCCATGTTATAATATGAGTAAAAAGTACTCACTACTAAAGTGAAAATTTAACGCCGTTTTTAATTTATCTTGTTAAATATAGAAAACCAGGTAGATTTAACGCTTTATTAAAGTTTATTATAAACTGTTCTGTCATTTTATTTGACGAATATTAATTATATATATACTGTATATATAGTTTCTGGGAGTTAGGCGTATTACATTAATACCAATGGCCTAACTAAGACTATAGAAGTAACCCAACGACATTAATAAGAAATTAGTGGAATGTAGACAAAGAATCATCAATGGACTTTTATTAAACAGTATGCAATTTTAAAATTTAACACCGCGTTATATAGAAACATAGACATAATTCAAATGTATAAAAAATTAAGCCTTATTAAAAAACAAAAAAAAGGAAAAAATATTATCTGTTCAAAAATTCCAGTATTTTTAATACGAAGCTTATCAATTCTGGGGATTGATCCTGAACTCCTGATAAAGGTCACCGAAAATACAGTAATTTGGACTAAATGTGTAGATTAAAGATTAATGATTTTTTTAGGTAGAAAATAATCTTTTGTTTATTTTTTTTAGTAATATTTTTAACATTACTTATTTTCTTTTTTCTTTCAGGGATTACTGAGAT